TTTATTTGAATGTGTTTGACTTTCATTTGATTTGATTAGCTTTAATGAATTCATTTGACTTTCATTTGATTTAAAAAGCTTTGTTTGAATGTGTTTGATTTTCATTTGTTTCAATTAGGTTTGTTTGAATGTGTTTGACTTTCATTCGATTCAATTAGCTTTGATGAATGCATTTGACTTGCATTTGATTGAAAAAGCTCTCTTTGAATGTGTTTGACTTTCATTTGATTTAATTAGTTTTATAGAATGCATTTGACTTTCATTTGATACAATTAGCTTTGTTGAATGCATTAGACTTTAATTTGATTAAAAAAGCTTTGTTTGAATGTGTTTGACTTTCATTTGTTTCAATTAGGTTTGTTTGAATGTGTTTGACTTTCATTCGATTCAATTAGCTTTGATGAATGCATTTGACTTTCGTTTGATTCAAAAAGTTCTGTTTGAATGTGTTTGACTTTCATTTGATTCAATTAGCTTTATAAAATGCATTTGACTTTCATTTGATTCAATTAGCTTTGTTGAATGCGTTAGACTTTAATTTGATTATAAAAGCTTTGTTTGATTGTGTGTGACTTTCATTTGATTCAATTAGCTTTGTTTCAATGTGTTTGACTTTCATTTGATTCAATTAGCTTTGTTTAATGCATTAGACTTTAATTTCATTCAAAAAGCTTTGTTTGAATGTGTTTGACTTTCATTTGATTCAATTAGCTTTGTAGAATGAATTTGACTTTCATTTTATTCAATTAGCTTTGTAGAATGCATTTGACTTTCATTTGATTCAATTAGCCTTGTTGAATGCATTTGACTTTCATTTGATTCAAAAAGCTTTGTTTGAACGTGTTTGACTTTCATTAGATTTAAATAGCTTTGTTTAATTGTGTTTGACTTTCATTTGATGTAATTAGTTTTGTAGAATGTATTAGACTTTAATTAGATTCAAAAAGATTTATTTGAATGTGTTTGACTTTAATTTGATTCAATTAGCTTGAATGAATTCATTTGACTTTCATTTGATTCATTCGAATGAAAGTCAAACACATTCAAACAAACGTAATTGAATCAAATGAAAGTCAAACACAATCTGATGTAAAAACTAATAGATGAAATTAGTTTAAACAAGTTAATGAATCAAGCTTAAGCAAAGGATTGAGAGAAGGTTGGTGTTTAGGTACGTTTATGTAGGATTTTAGGTGTGTCTTGGGGTTGGAAATGTGTAGGTTTGTAAGGATTACTCACTTAACAAACAAGGATATGAAGGCAAGGATTTTTCACTCAACCTACTAAGTTCAAATTGTATGGAAGGATTACTCACTTGACCAACTAATCTCTTCAAGTCTAACTTGGTACAAAAACCGGTTATTTCACAAACAAATAATCAGTTTTTAAGTTCAAGCAAAAGCTCTTTTTCATTCATCAAAATCTGCTTACAAACTACAATTACATGCCTTTTATAAGCAACTAAAAGAACTAACAATCATTGCTTAACTTAAAGAAGCAAACTGATTTATTAAAGCTTTAAACAACGAAAATGAAACTAAGCCTAAGATTACGTCTAAGTGCAGCAGCCTCTTGGTCTTCATATGCCCCTTAACTTCCTTATTAAACGCATGTAAATGAGCTAAACAAACAGCCACAAATTCAGCAAGAAAACTGTTGGAGGTGCATTTGTAACCCCCCCTTGATTAACGCCTTCTTCATTATTCATGCATTGAAGTTTCTCCTTGAGTTCCTCTCCATACCCACGGCTCTCCAACTGAAATGGCTGTTCAAAAATGCTTCAATTAACGTGCTTAATGAGCAATTAAGCAAGTAAATCCATGATTAAAGCCAAACGGACCATGGGCAGCAAAAGAATCCAAGGTTTGGTCTTCAAATGATTTCGCAAGTATCACTTCTTTGGACGAACCGTAACTTGGACTTGTGCTTGGACTTGGATGAAATTTGTGACTAGGACTAATAGGACTTTCGTGATTCGCATCATCCTCCCCTTCTTCGAAAGGAGTTGTCCTCAACTCGTCATCTTCTAAATAAGGAGCTAGGTCACCAACATTGAAAGTTGATGAAACTCCAAATTGCCCTCCAAGATCAACTTTGTATGCATTATCATTGATCCTTTCCATGATTTGAAAAGGACCCTCTGCCCTTGGCATCAACTTGTGCTTTCGTTGCTTAGGGAACCTTTCTTTTCGAAGAAAAATCCAAACAAGATCACCCACTTCGAATTTTCTCACATTGCTCAAGTGTTTGTTTGCTTGCTTCTTGTAGGACTCGTTAGCTCTCTCAATGTTCTTCCTAACTTCTTTATGAATATTAATCATGAACTCAACATGCTCCTTGGCTGTCCCATGAACAAACTTGTCCTTAGGAATTGCAATGTAATCAATAGGAACATAAGGATTGACCCCATAAACAATTTCGAATGGTGAGTATTTCGTGGTTTTACTTGGAGTTCTATTGTAAGCAAATTCAGCATGAGCTAGCTTTAGATCCCAATCTTTCCCTCCTTTGTTCACTAAGGCACGAAGCAATGTTCCAAGAACTCTATTCACCACCTCAGTTTGACCATCCGTTTGGGGATGATGGCTAGTTGAAAAAAGCAGCTTGGTACCCACGAGCCTCCATAATGACTTCCAAAAATGGCTCACAAACATTGTATCACGATCTGAAACAATGGTTCTAGGCAAACCATGTAACTTAGCCACCTCCTTGAAAAAAAGTTGAGCCACGTTATAAGCATCATCCACTTTTTTACAAGCAATGAAATGGGCCATCTTCGAAAAACAATCAACAACCACCATGATTGAATCTTTTCCACGAGCTGTTCTAGGCAAGTCCATGATGAAATCCATACTCAAATCCTCCCAAGGTCTTTCGGGAATTGGCAAAGGCTTTTATTCACCTCTATGAAAGGTCATTTTAGCCCTTTGACAAGTAGAACATCTAGCTAGGATTTGGTGCACGTATGACCTTGCAAGATCTCTAGGGTATTTTGAATACACATATGACCAGCAAGGCCTCCTCCATGAGCTTCCCTTATCAATAAGTCTCGAATTGCCCCTTTAGGAACACAAAGTTTGTTTCCTTTGAAAAGAAAACCATCCACCATCACGAATTGACCATTAACCCCATGCTTGCACGCCTCAATGATCTCCATAAGTTCAAGATCATCCTTGTAAGATTCCTTCATGATCTCAAAACCAAGGACCTTAGCTTCCATGATTCCAAGTAGGGTATGCCTCCTTGACAAAGCATTAGCCACAATGTTGGCTTTCCCTTGTTTATACTTCGTAGCAAAATTGAAGGATTGAAGGAATTCTACCCACTTAGCATGGCTAGCATTCAATTTTTTTTGGCCATGTATGAACCTCAAAGACTCATGATCCGAATGCAAGATGAATGGTTGTGGTCTCAAATAATGTGACCAATGATCTAAGGCTCGAACCATGGCATAAAATTCTTTGTCATAAGTGGAATAGTTCAATTTCCCTTGGCTCAATTTCTCACTAAAGTAGGCAATGGATTTTTTTTTCTTGGATTAGGACAGCCCCTATTCCCTTCCCACTTGCATCACACTCTACTTCAAAGGGTTTCATGAAATCAGGTAAGGCTAAAACGGGTGCCTCACACATCTTTTTTTTCACTAGTTCAAACGCATCTTGGGCTTGAGGGTTCCATTGGAAGGTTCCTTTCTTTGTACACTCGGTGATAGGAGCCATGAGGGTACTAAAGTTCTTAATGAACCTTCTATAGAAAGAGGTTAGTCCATGAAATGAACGAACTTCAGTTATGGTTTTTGGGATAGGCCACGAAGCAATGGCTTCTATTTTGCTTGGATCCACCTTGATTCCATCACCTGAAACAATGTAACCAAGAAAAACAATTTCTGTTAGCAAAAAATGACACTTCTCCAATTTCCCATACAATTTTTTCTCCCTCAAAGTTCTAAAGATTTCTTCCAAGTGCCTCAAATGATCTTCCTCATTTGTACTATAGATGAGAATATCATCTAAGTAAACAACTACAAACCTCCCCAAAAAAGGCCTCAACATCTCATTCATAAGCCTCATGAAAGTACTTGGGGCATTTGTTAAACCAAATGGCATAACAAGCCATTCATACAACCCATGCTTGGTTTTAAAAGTTGTTTTCCACTCATCACCCTCCCTCATACGAATTTGGTGATACACACTTCTCAAATCAATTTTTGAAAACACTCTAGCCCCACTCAACTCATCCAACATATCATCAAGCCTAGGTATGGGAAACCTATACTTAATGGTTATATTGTTCACAGCCCTACTATCAATACACATCCTCCATGTTCCATCTTTTTTAGGAACTAACAAAGTAGGAACGGCACAAGGACTCATAGACTCTCTCACATAACCCATTCGCATCAACTCCTCAATTTGTTTTTGCAACTCTTTAGTTTCCATGGGATTACATCTATTAGGTGGTTTGTTAGGAAGGGGTGCTCCCGGAATTAGGACAATTTGATGTTCTATCCCACGAATGGGAGGTAATCCTAAAGGTAACTCATTAGGAAAAACATCCTCATAAGCTTTGACTAATTCGGCCAACCTAGGGTTTTGTTGAACAAACCCTTCATGCTCCTCCTTAGACAACAACAAAAACACCTCATCTTCCTTCTCTAAGGTCTTTTCGAATTCTTTGAAAGAAAGTAACAAGATTTCCTTTCTTTTGGGCTCTTTTTGTGGTGTTTGTGGTGGTGGGAATTGTGTTTGGGGAATTTTTTTTTTGTGGTGGTAAGGGATGCAGCACTTTCTTGCTGCCTTGGTGGGTGATAGTATAGGTATTAGTTAGACCATCATGGGTTGATTTTCTATCACTTTGCCATGGTCTTCCTAATAAAACGTGACATGCATCCATAGGAATGACATCACACAAAATCTCATCAACATAAGAACCAATCTGAAATTTTACTAAGCAGTTCCAACCGTTACTTATCCACCCCGTTTTTAATGTTATGCATTACCTAAGTGCATAACTTTCCTCCATTTCTACTTCTTCGCATAGCATATGTCACAAACTCACAAAGACACACAATTCAATTGACAAAGCAAGGAAGTACAACTCCTAACATTTACACCCAACAACTATGGGATCATTGCGCTTCCCCTTCTCATCGTTCCCTCCGCCATTCAATCCCAAACCCTCCGCCACTTCCCTCCGCCTTCTCGCTGCCGCCGGCGCCTCCATTGCCGGCGCTTGCGCCGGCATTGCAATCACCCAAAATTCTGACAAACACCCAATTCTTCAAAATACACTTGATTTCTTACTCATCCATCTTCCCTTCACCCCAAATGCTCCTTTCTGGGGTTGTCTTTCTCTCTCCTCTGACGTCACCCCTCCTGATGTCACTGAACCAAAAACCGGGGTTTCGTTTCCTTCCATTGTTAAGGGTTCACAGACATTGCTGGGTATTGGATTAAGGAGAAAGAGTTTGTTTGGGCTTAAGAACATTGATGTTTATGCTTTTGGTATACTTCTTTAAACTGTTTTCTTTGATTTTACTGCTTAATTTTATGATTTTTGTGTGATTATGTTGATGGGTTTTGCGTAATTAGGTTCATTTGCCATTAGATTTTAACTGTTTATGATTTTTGGAACCCCATTATTAAATTTTAATGTATGATTGATTCTTGATTGTTTAATATAGTGTGTTAACTGTGTTTTCTTACTAACCATGATTAAGGTCTTAGGAATAGTTTGTCTAAGTTGGGAACATTTAATATTTATTGAGAGTGCAATAAAAAAAGATGTCTTTCTTTCCTTGGAAAAAGTTTTAGAATTGGGTGCAACAAAAGAAGATGCCTTTCTTTCCTGGAAAAAGTTCTGGAATTTTAAGGTAGTTTGCTGAATTATATGTTGAGGTATTGAGCATAGCAAAAACTTAGTCATTCGAGAAATTAACAAGAAAATAATGTAAGAAAGCAATAAAGGATGCTCAATATTTAACATGAGGAAAAACCTTCAGTAAAAATCCCACAAATGTTGAGCTGCCAAAATATTCACTATATGAAAATTATTATAATACAAAAATCCCAAATTTATAAGGCGAGTAAAATACATTTCTCACAATGATTGTATATTAACTCACAAAGGAACTCTCATTGAATTGTTTATGGAGAAAGAGAACACTTTTGTGTAACTCAAGTAGTTGGATACTTGGATGCCCCATAAAATTTCCCAACATCTTATATAGGATGAGAAGGAACGTATGCCAAGAAAAGTGGAGAAGCCTCTTGCACCTAAACATATCCTCATACAAATGTAGTAACATACTAACATATTTTGGGCTGAATAACAGTAAGTGCCAATAGTAATCCCAGATTTGTAGGTTTATATGACGAAGGTTCATTTAAGAGCATTCCAATGCTCCTTTCCATTGTTGAGCTACCAAAGAAGGGCGCTTAATTTAAATGTGAGTGTGATTAATCTACAACATTAATCTCAACTCATCATTCGTCAAGGAGTTTGAGATATTTGATTTTGTACAGCAAAGATGCATCTTTTCCATAGATTAGTGTTTAATCACTCAATAAGCTGGTGCAATTGATAGCTTATGTATGACATAGTCTGTTCTAGACTAAACTTGCATTTGCTATAAGCATGGTGAGCTGGTATATGTACAATAATCCTAGAATAGAGCACTATAATGCTACTCCTTCAATTTCAAATTAGTTGCTCCATTTGACTTTTTAAATTCAAAGAATATGAATTTTGACTGCAATTATGCACTACGATATAAGAAATTACACAATGTATTATCATATGGGAAATTATTAGATTTGTCTTAACGTGTACTTTCAATATATTAACTTTTTATAATTTTTATATTCATTTATGGTCAAATTCGAATCTTGGATGTTGTGGAAAGTGAATGGAGACTAATTTGAGATAGAGGAAGTATTAAATAGAACCTTTTGTCCTTTAAAAGAAACTACAAATCTGGGGCTAGACTTTGACAGACCTTATTAACTTCTAATTATGTTGGCTTCGATGATTTTGGCTATGGAGGCTATCTTGACTGTTGAAGATCACTCTACAATTATATCTTCATTTCGTGTTCTGTTGGAAGGCATCTTGCTACCTTAGGTTGCATTATCTACAACTAGAGCAGATTATGAAGGTACAAAAGAGGTACATGGTTCCAGGGTCTTGTTATGGATCTTGGTGTTCCATTAAGGCCTTACCATTGTGTTCTTCAACAGCCAAAGTGCTATCTGACCAAGAATGATGCCTACTCCAAGACAAAGTTCTATTAAATACTCTATGCTGCAACATTACTTTTACTTTAAAATCCTAATGAATTAGAGAAAGTCTTTGTTTATATCCGAGATTGATCAATCTCACAAACATGAACAGTGTACAATTTTACGATTCATGTGTGTGAGATTGATCAATCCCAGATATAAACATAGACCTCCTCTACTGAAATATTAGTAATGATCTTTAAAATTTCGATACAATAATCTTACAAGCCCCTAACCCTTGTGCATGACTGTTAAAAGACATTGGAATAGTGGCAATAGCCTTATTGTATTCCATAGCTTTATCATGTGATGTAAACATACATGTATGTCAAACTGACTTCTTCCTGAATTTTTTAAAAAAGATGGTCAAATCAGTACAGCTGCACAGGTAATCAAGAGTGGAAGTAATCAGTGAAGTTGGCTACATGATATTTTAATTTTATTTTAATTTTTAATTTTTTTATTATTTTTTTTTTATTTATTTTTGGTTATGGACAGGTGTATATGCTGATGAAGATGATGTGCAGCATAATCTGAAGGATAAGTACGGGGAATATTCTGCTTCTGATCTGAAAGACAATAAGGGTTTCAGTGAGGATCTGCTGGAAAGTGATGTAAATTTGACTGTGAGACTACAAATAGTCTATTCTAGATTGAGCATTCGATCTGTGCGGAGTGCTTTTGAAGAGTCGGTAGGAAGTAGACTTCAAAAGTTTGGGGTGGATGATAACAAAGAACTGCTTCACAGGTAACTCAATTAGTCAATTTCAAAATCTAGTACGTGTTTGGTATGCTTATGAAGCTTCTGGAGTTCAGAGGCTCCAGAGCACTCTTTCCATCTTCTAATCACACCTTAGCTCTGCCAGCTTTAATCCATGTCAATATTTATGCTTACTTTTACCTGATGTTTAGGCATAAACTTCTGTTTGTGACTATGAAGTCAAACAATACTGTTAACTCTGTACCTTATAACATTATTTTTTGTGACTATTTGCCTTATTCCACCAATCAATTTTTACTATGTATAGCAATTTGTTTGAAGTCATACTCTCTTATAGTTTCACCGTTTTCAATTGCTCTTTATATTTGGCCTAATCACTCAACTTTATTCTCCATTCTCCTTTTTTTCTTTCTGCCCCCTGTCCTGTCTTCATAAAAGATCACTGCTTCATATTCCATTTTTCTTTAGTATGATAAACAACCATTTTGATGCTGCACAAAATTGTGGCAGCATTCTGACAAGTCAATGGCTGAGTAGCTGTAGCATTATGGAAAGCTCCTAGGTGTTCAGAATTATAAGTCAAAATTGAGGACAATTCTAAAGAGTATAATGAGACATTTTGGTATATCTTTGTCAAAATTTTCAGATTTAACTATGGAAAACCTTTTACTTTGTATTTAACCTTGTAATGTATATAATTCTAACTCTTAACAACCTGAACAAGACTTTCCAAAAAAATTTAGAGGCTTTTATAAATGTAAACAATAAAGGACATTTTCTGATTGAATTTTATGTGTGATATCAAATTCATTACTTCTGCTTTCCTCCTCCCACGCTAGGCCTCAATCTCACATTGTTTCACTGCCATCCTACTTCATCAGTGCACAGCACCACTATCTCATAGGCCATGGTGCCATCTAGCATTGGTACATTACGACTCTGCCCTTCTGTACCTTACTACAAATTGTTGTGCAAGGAAAGTTGGGTGCACCATCATCCTGTGATCCATGCCTCCGTGGTGCAATCTGGTGCTGGCCCATTACAGCTCCTTGCGCATCAATTCATCTAACCCTAAGTTGTTGCACAAGGAAATTTGGGCGGATGACTGGATGAGAACATCTTAACTTTAGCTGCAAGACTTGGTAGTTACTTATTCTATGCCATACATAAATCTTGCTTACTTTCTGTGCTTTGTACCTCCTCCGTTTCTTTATTGGCACCTTCTTGGCGTTCTATTTAAGAAAGGGATTAAAGAAGGAAAATGGATGGATTAATCTAAAAAATTCAAACCATAACAACTTAACACTTTCTTTTTAAAATCAATGTTAAGATTATTTAATTTAGTCTAATACTCTAATGTCTTTCTTAAACCGCTGTGCCAAAATGGTGTGTTGCAACTATAAAGAAACGGAGTAAGTACTTCATATATAACTACATAAGTCAACTTTCTTGGAGGACAATTAATTCAAAGTGCAATTTATTTAAGAGTGTTAAAGTAGAAATAATTGTTCAGTTTTCAAAGGAGATTATCCCTGTGCAATCAATACTGTAGACCTTTTGAAATCCATTGAGCAGTAGGGTAATTTATATATGCTATGGATAAAGCATTTGTCAACCAGAAAGTTTTAACTTTTGACCATCATGAAAGCAGAGACGCAGAGTAATAAGTGGCTTTGATGGTAGGGCATTTGTGTTTATTATGCCTCACAGAGTCATGGTCCAACTGATAGGGTTCTGAGTACTTAATCGCCCTTGTAGATTATTATGTTTATATTGGAGCACATAGTTGGTAGATTTGGAAGAAGTTTACAAAAAAAAATTTAGTAACTCAATGGCCAAGAATATTATACTACCTCCGTTTTTTTTTTTTTTTGACACATATTCCTTTTTGGGATTTTTTTTTTTTTTAGTTGACGCATATTCTTTTTTTGGAAGTTTATATTAAGTTGACCCCACTACAAACTTGATTAAATAAAATTAAGCACATGGTCTATCTACTTGCTTTAACATTCTCTCTCCTCTCCTTAAAGTGTGTCTGAATTGAATGTGTCATCTAAAAAGAAACGGAGGAAGTAAATTATAAACAAGGACCAAAATCATAATGAAGTTGAGACTTTCTATAATGTAAGGAATGCATTATCAATTGAGCATGATTAAGCTAACATATGGTTCATTGCAGATTTACTTCTCAGTTTAAAGATGAAATGAAAATACCAAAGGGTTCTGTTATAGAATTGTCCAGGGAGCATGGTCATGTACTTCGCACAAAAAGTAAGCTCTCTCTCTCTATACTTGAGGAATGGTTGGGGTACAGCATCAGCTGATTTCAGTCTTGTGGTATTGTCATTCATTAGTATAAATATTGTGCGTTGCAAGTTTATTTAAGAAGCCATTACTCCTATATGGAACTGAATATGAGAGGGGCTATATATATTTTTATGAAAGAGAATGGGCCTTTTATATTATCTCATCTATCCAATTACTCTACTATTTTTGTTTTTTTTTTTGAAGAAAATTACTCTACTACTTAAAATAAGCATGTTGTGCAATGTTTAAATACCGCTCTCTCTGTTTCTTTTTATTTGTTACGTTTTGACGTGTGGTCAACTTTTAAAAACTTTGACTACAAAATTTATAAAGATCAAAATCATATCAAGTGGAATATTGTTAGATTTGTCTTGAAATTAAATTTTAATATATCTATTTTTTACATATCCTATTAAACATGTTCGTGGTCAAAGATGTGCATTGGAGACCGTAAAAGTCAAAATGTAACAAATAAAAAAAAACCGAGTAGTTACACTGATATTGCATAAAAGTATGCTTGCTGAGTTAGATATTTAGTTTGTACTTGCATAAATATATGTTTGAACTTTTGCAGTTAACGGAGATGAGGTGGGGAGCATTGAGAGCAAACTTCTTTGTCAATCAGTACTGGATTTATACCTTGGTGAAGATCCATTTGATCGACAAGCAAAAGAACATGTAATGCACAAGTTGGCGAGTGTCTTTGAGAAGAACTAACCCAGTGGGATAGAGTGTGATACCAAATTTGGTTGCAAATTGCGAGTATTTATCTAGATGTCCCTCTATTAGAAGCACCCTGGTAAGCTGTGGCACCTGAGGTGTCAACACTACCCAAATCTCCCACTACCTATATTTGTATCATAGTGTAGATTTTACCAATAACATTTGTACATTTGGGTAAAATAAATGCAATTTGAATGTCAAGTGCATACTTCATCTTTTCTTCTCTTTTTAATCTGGAAATGAACATAGCCTAGATTTGAGTGAAGGAATACAGACTGAAAAATGGGAGAAAGGCGTTGATGGTTAGTGTTTCACTATGCAGTTCATCGCTTAATTACCTTGTCTATAACAATGATTTAATAATAAAATTTGCAAGGCACAAGTTTAAGATGGAATTGTATCATCAAACTTATTGTTGCCCTCTAATTGTTCTACAAGTTGATCTATTTGATTTCCATATGGCAGATATCAATAGGGTAAAACTGACATTGTCATGATTATTTTAGGGGGTATTGTTGTGAATTCGACTGAGTTAGGACAAGTTGCCACATATGCTTGTTAAGTAAATGGATGTGAACATATGTTACTTGGGAGTGTAAAGCAACAATGGAGAACGTTAATGGAGAAAATTCAATGGAGAAAATCAAGCTCAATGGAAGACATGGTCACCCCTACGGTTGCCCTACCCTTTGAGTCGTGCCCTCAATTTAACTCATTTTTCATAGGGTAATCGTTTAAGCCGTCGAAGATGGTAGTGTTGTCAATGGAGGATGGAGACGAAGAGCATGATGTCGGTGGAAGGTGGACACGAAGAGGTTGGTGTCGGTAGAAGGTGGGTGGAGATCGAGCAAGGAAGGAGGAGGAAGCTTACATATACAAGTCAAGTAACGCTAGCCTTCATTTTACGAGGAAGTGCAATTGAAGGGTTGTGAGCCACACAACCCTTGCCTAACAACTATTAATATAATAATAATAATAATAATAATAATAATAATAATAAAAAGAAAGATAGGAAGAGTGAAAAAAAAGTGGTGTGAACCCCACTCTTTCTTGTCAGATATGATTTCATGTGCAAAAAGGAGAAAAATTACGGAGACCACTACCATTGAGAGTGTATTTGTACCACTTAAAGTCTAACTGTATTATTTAACAGCCCAATAAAACGTCTTGCAAGCGAAATGACATTATCACCCGTACCGTTAGCCGTTTGGAATGCCTTTCATTTTACTTTAGTTCTATGTAACTCAGCATTTGAGTATGATACATCATGAGCTGGCATTCTGGCAATACATCTTGTTCCTCAATATTACAACACCACCATTAGATACACGTATTTCATCAATCAAATAGATCACTGGGGCGCCCTCCTTTTAACTAGGCAAGTAGTAAAGAGAAACTTCCAGACGTTTTTCCAAACTAAGCCAATTTTGCTAAATATTAACCAAAATGGTTGCGTGGCAAAAGTATTTACGAAACTAAGCTTCTAGGCTAAAACGTTGTCTCGGACAGCGTTTTATGCCTGGTTTTTTGTAAAAAAAAAAATAAAATTAAACTTAAACACGCTGTCTGAGAAAGCGTTTTTAGTTGTTGACTTTTTTGTTGAAATTTTCTTAAATTCTGAGTTTTTAATAATAATTAGGAAAAAAATATACCTAAAACGCTGTCTAAGGCAGCGTTTCTATGGTTTTTGTTTTCGTGCGTCGCAGGCTGTAGTTCATTCTCATCACACTCACTCTCACTCTATCTCGCTGCCGCCACCACAGTTAACCATCGGGCTGCCGCCACCACTGAGTTGCTGCTGCCCCTCTCCACTCAATTTCGTGGTAAACCCTAAATTCAAAATAGTGTAATGTTGATAATTGTTGAATTGTTCAAATTGTTCAAATTGCTGCTTTGTTCAAACTAGTTGCCATAGGTGGGTGGTCCCCAGACTCAAAATAGTGTAACATTTGTCAGTCTTTTTTGCCCCCATACGGTTTCATTTTGCTAACAAACAAAACAACTTTGTTGCCATAGGTGGGTGGTCCCCTGACTCAAAATAGTGTAACATTTGTCAGTTTTTTTTGCCCCCATACGGTTTCATTTTGCTAACAAACAAAACAACTTTGTTGCCATAAGTGGGTGGTCCCCAGACTCACACAGGCGCATGCGGCGACGGGTCTTCCGTACTACCGAGACGCCCTTGATCGACTCGCTGAGCAACAGGTGGAAACTTTTTAGATATTTGTAAACAATTATGTGTTGTGTATACCGTATGTGGACTAACTTAATTATAATATTTATTTTGATGTGTTATTGCAGATCACCTGGGATCCGTATGAACCGGTGTTGGTAGATGCCATGCCTACACATCTACTGGATCATCAGGCAGAGTGGCGTGCCAGAGTCCCCCTGATTTGTTTCGAGGTCGTGGAGAGTCACCTACCCCACCGCGTCATGCGACAGTTCCAACTATGCCAGCCTGTTCCCCAGCAATGTGACACTAGTGTACGCCTTCACGGCATTGACCGTCGGGGAAAGGGGGAGACGAACTGGGCATTGGAGCATTGGCGTTTCCTTGATCTATGTCAGCAACGGCTGGAGTTTGTCGTTGGCGGTGACCCGATGCAGGGCGATATGGATCCTTACGATCCGTACATGGTGTGGTACAGGCGTATTACACGTCGTTTCATCAACCCTAGCTACACACCACCGTCCCCATTACCAGCCAGCTCATGACGTCATTCGCGGATATGTGAGTTGCTTTTATTGTACTTATCGTCCTCATTTTTTATTTTTTTATATATCATGTAACTGACTGACCAATGATTACTACAGGCGGCGGATATGGTGTCGATGTTTGATGCACTGTCACTCGCCCTTGCAGACGAACCCACCTGAGCCCAGGTCGAGCAGATGCGATTTATGTCCGTGACTTCCTTACAGAGACATGGTCACGGTTATCTCATCCACCAGCGAGACGGTCAAGACAGTGGATCCTCCTTCCAAGCACAGTTCGACCCCGGCCAGAGTAGCGGTGGAGGTGATCCTACGACACTCACAGACGCAGAGGATTACATCATCCACAGTTCTGCGCCCACCCCACCCAGGAGGGCCCATCGTCCAGCCAACAGACTCCCCCACCGCGCCGAGACCCATTCACCACCATTACTCATTACACGCGGCGTAATGTCAGACGGAGGGCCGATAGACAGGATTGCGAACCGTTAACCCCAATAAATGAGTCGGGATAGTATTAGCTGATTTATTTGTTGTACTCGGCTTTTCTAGAATATAACACTTATATTATTAATATACAAAATGTTTTTTGAATGAATCTGTGTGTTGTCTGAAGTTTACTTTCCTTATTTGTCCAAATCGGACTTATGTCCGTCAGAATAGATCCTTCTAGGCTGATATATATCAAACACAAGACATTTGGGCTCCATAATGAGAAACGGGGTAGAAGCGATGACCCGTGGTGGTTAATGTGGTGGTTCATGGTGGTTATAGTGATGTTGGTGGCTGTTGGTGGTGGTGGTAAGGTTGGGGCTGGTGGTGGAGCTGGTTGTAGTGTTGTTGGGGGTGGTTGGAGTGTTTTGAAGTGCATAAGGGTGGTTGAAAGTGGTGGGAGGTGGTGGTCGACGGTAGGGGTTGGTGGTGGGGGTGGTGGTTGAGGGTGGTGGCTTATTGAAGGCTGGGGGTGGTGTGTTGGAGGCAGAAATGGGGCAGATTAAACAGAAGAAAGGTTGTTGGCTGCTGGTGTTGCAGTCCAGCAGAAAATCGCTGTCTCAGACAGCGGTTTATGTACAAAAAAAAATTGTACATAAAACGCTGTCTCATACAGCGGTTTATGTACAGCTAAAGATTTGCACATAAGACGCTGCCTCAGATAGCGTTTTATGTGCAACAAATATTTTGTACATAAAACACTGTCCCAGACAGCGTCTTATGTGCATTTGATTTTTCACACAAAATAAACAGAAAATAAGAATTTTTAAAATTAAAAAAAAAAAAAAAAAAAAGTCAAACGAGACAGCGTTTTACAAATTGATTTTTTTTTTTTTTTTTTTAAATCCAAGGGATAAAACGTTGTCCGAGACAGCGTTTTACCCTAGAAGCTTAGTTTGGTAAATACTTTTGCCACGCAACCATTTTGCAAAATAGTTTTTGTTTTAGGCTTATTTTGGGGAAACGTCCGAAACTTCCATTGTTTAAGATATTATTCGGAAAATATAGCATTCAAGGCGTTCAATAGCAAGGTACTCATGCGTACATGAATGGATGACAAAGTTCCCATATAATCCTCTCCACCTTGCCCTGTTGTGCTGCTATTTCACTTTACCCTCTATATCTGTAACATCTATATTTGCTATCTAAGACTTTTAAACATCAATATTTTCAGCATAACGAGATTTGAACTTTCAGACAACGCAGAGAGGGAGACTTGACCATCTTCCATAAAAGCACCGTCAACAAGTGCACGTTGCGTAACATGGCACCTAGCACTAGCAGGTTTCAAAACTTGGGCTGAGATAGCACTAGAAATTTTGGGATCCCCACTGTTACATTCTAATACTGACTGACCAAAAAAACTAAATTTTCATATTGACTAAAGCCTTGTCCTTAAGTCGCCGTAAGTAGTTACAAATTATATAAAAATCAACTTTTGACCTGACCGAAATAAGTGCCAAGTGATGAGCAATCTACCAATATTGTTAATTTGCTATACCAGCATTTCCAGGCAACTGAACTATACAGTATACGGCAGCCATTACACAAAAAGAGCCACATCTACAAGCTTTATCATGTATGTATTGCATTAAAAGTGGTTATCATCTTCCACTGAATCTTCCAACAAAAAAAAATCCTCCGCTGGATCTATTAAAAGTGGTTATCATCTTACACGATAATCAAAGTTACTTCATGCTTAGTCCACTTCTATCAAGGTTTGATAAATCAAAACCTATTTTTCGAGAAATTTAAGTGTTATTCACAAGAGAAACCGCAAAGGAAAGCTCTGGCATCATGTTTTACCATTAACGACGTTGGAGCCACAGTTTCAACGTTTGCAAATCTACATCTATTTCAGCTCTTGGTCACTTAGACTTTCATCAACTCCTGAAAAGGAAAAATGAATCAAAATTATCATATGAAAGGACAATACGTAGTATTACAGAAATAGCTATTGTTTAAATCTCATGTATATGTAACCAATGAAATTGGGAAGCTAATTCAAACTCAAGAACATGAGGACTGAAATCGACAATCTCAGTTAATCAAGAACAGCTTAAATCACATTTAAAAGGTTAATTTCCTCATAATTCCACCAAACAAAAGCTAGTCCACTTAAGATGGTAGTTTTCAACCAAAAAAAGAGTAAAAAAACTCCTGTGTGGTTAGGGTCACTACTCACAACAGAGCATCACATGCATATGAAAAAGAGTAAAAATTAATCAGACCTGTTTCTGACTGCAATAAATCACAATCAAGAAAGATTTAACTCAGTACCTGTTCTTTCTGCTTGTAGATAGATTCAACCTTCTTCATGTACTCATCAGTCAGCTTCTGTAATAAAACAATATATATCCAGTGGCTAAGTCCTCTCCAAAAATATCAAAAAAGGGTATTATAAACTTTATAAAGGTAGCATATTTTTTGAACTGCCCATAACTTGTCCACTTTTTGGGAAAAAAAGAAACTAACTAATTGAGTATTCTGTTTTTTAAACAGCCTAGAGTCTGATTTTATTTGAGTAACATTGAGTCTTGTTTTGCCACAATATACTGCGGCGCTTGGCAGGTATTGAATATTTGCACATATATCGTCACTCGTTAGCTCCATTTCATCCAATGCATCAAAGCTGTAAGACGGGATATAGCCAAGCCCAAAACTTTCACAATGCATTTACATTTACATGTATATACTTTATTTATTTATTTATTATTATTTTTTTTGACGGGGTTTACATGTATATACTCTATATATATATCATATATGTACATGACAGAGAAGAAATCCTACCACCTCATAGAGATATTTTCTTTCTTGGGTTGACCATTTATTCAGAACTTCATATATCTTCATATCTAAAATATAGCAACCAACTACAAACCAAACCTCATCTCCCCAGACAGATCAGCTACATGACTACATTATCCATTGGCTTTCTAAAGGGTGTTGAATTAAGGTCATAATTGCCTCAGCATCTGAAAGGTCGTCTTAAAGTTCTTATCCATATAAAAAACCTGTCAGCTTCTTGCCCCTAAGTCACATGAATGACGTATTGACGTGTAAGATCAATCAGACAACCTTCCGCCCCCACACCCCCAAACACATCGCAAACACCACATAGTTAAATGCATCAATTGTAAAGGTGTGAAGCCTGGTATTACCTGTAGATCAGCAGATAGGTCTTTCACGTTGTCCTCAGAAAGTTTTTTCTCCTGTAAAGACAAAGACAGCGACAAAGAAATTTCAGAGAACATTCACATAAAGTTAACATTACAGAATTACTGATTAAAAGATCAACACCTTCTCAAGTTTTTCATAAGCCTTCAGAGCATCTCTTCTTATGTTCCTAACTGCAACCTGTGAGAACAAAATTTGCAAGAGAACAAGCACTTGTGAGTTTGCAGAAAAATAATCAAACTACAACATTTCCCAGAGTGCTGCATAAAAAAGTGATATACCAAGCTGCAGATCTCAAGATGTAGAGTTATTTCCTACAATGTTGGATTGAGCTCTGATTTTAAATTATGCTATGCTAATAGGAAGGTCAGCTGAAATTTGGCTGTTTTTCTCACTTATGGGATTAACGCTTTGAATGATTGATTGATGTAGGAAAGTTCACAAGCATGACCAACTCATTTTCCTTAGAACAGCAGCAACAATGAACATAAATTCTATGCTTAGACGCCATAAGGGATTTATGCACATCAACTAGTAAGCAAGAATTCAAGATGTATAATTTGTAAAGCCAATTTAAAGGCACCGTCCTCGGTGAAACAAGGACAATAAAGGGAGGGGGGGAAGGGCAAAAGTGAGCCAAAGGCCCTAGTCATCCCTAGGGGAGCTAGGGCCTTCCTCACTTGGACGCCACACGTAGGCGACGTCCGAGGGAGGGCCATGGGGCTCCCAAACCACCGGTGGGAACCCGCGGTTCCGGTAAAGGTCTTGTTGCCAATCCGGAAGAGGGTCAAAGGGAGGGGGCATGACTAGTGGCTCCGAGGTGTACATGGGGTAATTAGGATCCCCACGAAAATCACAATCGCCCCGGGCCGGAAGTCATATGGGGGAAAGTCACGGCAAGAGCCACCTGATGGCCTTTGCCAAAAAATGTAGGTCGGTTTGCATGGAGTCTCATCACGACGCGGTTCCTCCCAACTAGGAACCGGGCCATGTTGAGACGGTCAATAGGGATAGTCCACAAGGGGCGCAAAGTGCCCTTGATTTACATGTTGCCATTGTAAATCCCATGACCATTGGCGGACTTCGCCAACCGACCAACTTGCAAGCTCAAATTTTGAAAAGCATTTTCAAAATCAAGGGTAGAGGAAGAAACCATACCTCCTCCACTAGAGGAGGGATCGGGCATGTGATGAAAGCACTCCTCTGGAGTTTGTTGTTGTTGTTGTCGTCAAGGAGGGGGTGGGACTCGCTCCTTATGGGAAAAGTATAAATCATCGATATTGGCGCGAGGAATCTTTCAAGGGTTAACATGCCAGCGGGTTAAAGATGAACGGATGGGAATCTAACACCAAGATATCTTTCGAACCATCCAAATCCACCCATCTAGGCTACCCCGAAGAATCACCTCTCTAAACATCCTAGCTTGCTTAAGAGCATACAAGTTCAAGAAAAGGAGGTCATCAACTGAGCTTGGCCAACTCTTCTCCAAAACCGAGTTTATATGCTATCCATGTAATCATACCCCCGCACTGAATGTCGCCGTTCAAAAAACTTCCCAATTTGGTCTCACGGAAACGGTCGGTGAGAATGGCCCCAAAGTTGACTTTTTTATCATAATAGATGAACCCATCGGTAGCTAACCATAGCAAAGTCAATTCCTCTTAGTTCATCTTCCCAAGCTCTTTGACGAGAGAACAAAGTATACACCATCATCCGATGGAAGTAGCGAACGGCCGGATGGATAATTTCTGAAGCCTTAGCGGACCGGAACAAAACCTTATGTTCCCTTGTGTGATCCTCTCCCTCTACTCCTACTCAACATGATCATTCCAATTACGATCATTCACCCTAGACCTGGCAATCCTGACCCAAATCCGATGACCCGACCCGAATGACCCGACCCATGACCGAAATTGACCCAAAAATATTGACCCGAAAATGACCCGAAACCCGAAATTGACCTGACCCAACCCATACCCGTCCCGAAAATGGAGTTGACCCGATCCTGACCCGATGCCCGAACTGATCCGAATAGACCCGGCCCGAAATTGACCCGAAGTGTTTGATCCGAATAGACCCGATACCCGAAATGTCCCAAACTAAAATTACATTATAACTTAACTAAAAATGTTTTGTACCAAAAGTAACTCAAATTGTTCATCTTCAACCGTAGCTAAGCTCATAAACTGAATTGATAGTTTTTATTATAACAATAACAAAATATATACTCCATATAAAATTATTCATTTAAGCTTGATTCACAAATGAAACAACCCGAACATGACCTGACCAGATTTTGACCTAACCCAAATATGACCCGAAATTGACCCGACCCGAACATACCTGACCCGAAATTCATCCGACCCGAACTTGACCCAATACCTGACCCGAAGTTAACCCGAGACCCGAATCAACCCGACCCGACCCATACCTGACCCAAATGTTAGCTGACCCGAAAGTGACCCGACCCAAACCCGACCCGAATGACCAATTTCACCTTATGAACTGAGCTCTTCGGATCCCACACAAATATTGTGTTCAACTCCATCAAAGTTAACTTCTTTTGCGTGTTGAAGATACGAAAATGGAGCTCAAGCTCCTTTATACCAATCCTCCCGATTGAGTGACCGCTTCCCTTAGGTATTTCCGTGCGGTTTTTGCCTTATTTTTGGCTTCTTTGGGGGATGAGAAAAGGGTATAAATACCCTTAATGATGTAATTAGACCTTTTATCCAGAATTTTAGCCCTAATTAGAAAGTTTAGCTTAGTATTCTAAAGAGAGAAAGTAGTGTAATCATTAAATTCTCCATTGTTGCACTTGGTTCTTGTAATAGACTACTACTATTGCAAGCAATTATACGATTACTAGAAGGAAGCTTGAGTGTTTGATTTCATTGATTAAAGGAAGAAGGATAGCAATGGCTTGAGGCCATTAATCTCACAATGTAGCTTGAGGCCATTAATCTCACAATGTAGCTTGAGGCTACAACTCTCAATTACAATTCACTCAATTTCTGGATCACTACCACAAAGTTCTACTACAATACTTATAGAATTAAGCTTAAATGATACATGTGAGAATTAGCTAAAATGGCAAAACCATATTTAGACATAATAGGAGCTTGTTGCTTGTTTTCCTTAGTTGCTTCTTAATTAGTTTTGTCTTCTTGTTCTTTGTTGTTGTTGCTGACTTCTTGGCCTTGGTCTTTGTTGCTGACTTTCTGACCAATGACTCTTGGCTTTCTTCCTTTGAACCTCCGGGTATAAACTTGTATGGGTATGGGTCGGGTTATAGGGTGATCCATCACAGTTCTCCTTCAAGTAATGAAGTCAAGCTTTTGATTAGTAATCTCTTTCTTCCCTATCCTTTCAACTCCACACAACCGAGAGGATTGGTGTAAAGGAGCTTGAGCTCAATTTTCGGATCTTCAACAAGCAGAGGAAGTTAACCTTGACGAAGTTAAATGTTCGGGTGGGATCCGTAGAGCCCGGTTCATAGGGTGAATGATCGTAATTGGGATGGTTATGTTGAGTAGAAGTGGTAGGAGAGGATCACACAAGGGAACACGAGGTTTCATTCCCGGTCCGCTAAGGCGTCGGAGATTATCCATCCGGCCCTTCGCTATTTTATTCTCTTGTTAAGAGCTTGGGAAGGTGAACCAAGAGGAATTGACTTTGCTGTGGTTAGCTACCGATGGGTTCATCTATTATGATCATAAACTCAACTTTGGGGCCATTCTCGTCGACTGCTTCCATGAGACCAAATTGGGAAGTTCAAATATCAGCGACATTCAGTGCGATGGTATGATTACTTGGATAGCATATAAGCTCAGTTTTGGAGAAGAGTTGGCCAAGCTCTATGATGCACCTCCCTTTCTTGAACTTGCATGCTCTTAAGCAAACTAGAATGTTCAAATAGGTGATTCTTCGAGGTAGCCTAGATGGGCGGGTTTGGGTGGTTTGAGAGATATCTTGGTGTGAGATCCCAAATCCTTTCATCTCTAACCCGCCGGGAAATGTTAACCCTTGGAAGATTCCTCGCGCAAATATCAATGATTTGCACTTATCCCATAGGGAGTGAGTCAACAATAACAACATCAACATCAATAACAAACTCAAGAGGAGTACTTTCATCACATGCCCGATCCCTCCTCTAGTAAAGGAGGAATAGTTTCTTCCTCTGCCCTTGATTTTGAAAATGTTTTTCAAAATTTGAGCTTGCAAGTTGGTCGATTGGCAGAGTCCGTCGACGGTCACAGGATTTACAATGCCAACATGTACGATTGGCATATAAACAAGGTTCAAAAATGCGGTTGTATCATTACGTATCGGGCGAGTTGTAGCGGTTTTCAATTTTACCGAACCGAGAATTAGCGATTTGTAGCGGTTTTCAATTTTACCGAACCGAGATTTAGCGATTTGATGCGGGTTATTATAATACACCGCATTTTTGGACCGAATTGACCAGTACACCGAAATATTTATGAATCATCCGAGAAATCGCATAAATTTGCGATTGTTTCTTCGGAGAGAAAAGGAAAGAGAAAGAGGAGAGGGAAAAGCAAGAAGAGGAGAGAGAGAGAGGGGTGCTCTGATATTTGAGTGGGGTGTGAAGTGAGCTGTCACATAGGTGAAGGTTAGGAAGTGGGTATTGGACAAGTGTCATCTACCATTACTTTTTGCTTTTGACTACTCCAGTAACTTAACAAGTTGTTTTCTTTTTACTTTCTATTTATGTGTTACCCAATGCTTACCGTAGAAGACAATTCATTTTAGAGGAATTGAATTAATAATTGAAAATAATTAAAATAATTCCAATTTTAGTTATTAGAAAATGATAAAAATTTAATTTTTTAATATTTATGAGTTGTAATATTGATAAAACATACAAAATTATAAAACTAAAATTTGATCCCTATATCCGCGATAACCGCATCAATTCCGTTACCGCGACACGTTACCGTTATCGCGATCGCGACCGAAACCATGCCCGAAACCGCATTTTCGAACCATGCATATAAATCAAGGGCACTTTGCACCCCCCGTGAACTATCCCTATTGACCGCCTCAACATGGCCCGGTTCCTAGTTGGGAGGAATCGCGTCGTGATGAGACTCCGCGCGAACTGACCTACCCTTATTGGTAAGGGCATCTTCTCAAGGACTCAAGGTAGCCCTCGCCGTGACTTTCCCCATATGACTACCGGGGCGTAGGGGGTTGTATTTTCATGGGGATCCCAATTACCCCATGTACACCTCGGAGCCACTAGTCACGCCCCTTCCCTTTGACCCACTTCCAGATTGGCAACAACATCTTTACCGGAACCGTGGGTTCCCATCGGGTTACACCGGTGGTTGGGAGCCCCATGGCCCTCCCTCGGATGTCGCCTACGAGTGGCGTCCAAGTGAGGAAGGCCCTAGCTCCCCCCTCAGTTATACTTATGCATCAATGCAGAATCAATTCTACAAAATTATTAGCATCTTTTCTATTATATATATATATATATTGGGTGGGAGGGGGGCAAAAGCTTATGCAAGTAAGCTTTACACCTAATTTGCTGGAATCCCATGCTATATAATGAATATTGTCCATGAACCGTGAAACTTATGTTTCATTAAACCGTGTTTCATTAAACCATTTACCAAGTGTGTTTTTACAGTTATGGGGTGACCTTTAACAATACTTTTGTGGGAATATTTTAAAATTGTGGGAATTGCTGAATCCTCACCAACCTCTCAATCTCAATAAAACCCATGAGATGCATGCTCACATGAATGGGAGAAGCATCTAGATATTTAAGCAACAATTCCTTTCTAACTGACAATGCATCAGAATCCTACAGATGTCAAAACTATTAAATTCTTCTTTTAAAGAATAAATGCAATACAAATGACTTCTTTTGATCAACGTAAGGCCCTACATTAAACCATCAGATGCTCAATTGCTGATTAGCTGGTTTATGCAAACATGGTCAGCCCATCAGCACAAGTATGCAAGGTCTTACAAGGGAAACAAACAAAGCATTTCCCTAGAAAATGTAGTAGACCAGAGCCAAAGTTTCAGATTTAAACTACTGACTGACTGGTCATCTAATAATGAGCTGTAAGTACTATTTAACGAGCTTTGGCTTTTTAAAAAAAAGTTAATACAAAAAAGAAAGTTATAAAAAAAAAATTTACTAGATGAAAACAAACCTTTCCTTCTTCTGCGAGTTTAGAAACAACTTTCGAAAGCTCCTGCAGCAACAGAGATGCAAAGAATTTAATAGAGTGAGGAATAAACTTTTCCAAGAAACTACTATGAAATGAGCAGTGTAGATATAAAGCCAGCTTCTAAGAAGAAAATTCACTAAGTTTTTATCTACTGAAATTGATCTACATCTGGTCACTGTTTATACTGTAATGATTGGATAAAAGTTAAGGTTTTACTAAGCATAAAGCATTAACATCACAATTATTGGGGAAAAAGTTAGTTACTGAACCATTGATTGATACCAGAAAAGGACTTGAAGTGGAATGACATATATAAATTGCGATATACAATACATTCTCAGCTTTGTTCGGGAAGGCCAGATATGAATAGTGAAACATCATACCGCATTTTGTTACTTATAATATCTATTTGTATCCAAAGTCTCAAGGCACATAACCATTTGGCAAGGTCATTTTACAACGAAGTAGACAGCTTATCAGAGTAAAAATGTTACCAAACACAAAGTTTAGTCGGATGACAGAGAATCTCTCAAAAATAAATTATGCCCCCCACCCAAAAACTCAAAAATAAATTATGCCCCCCACCCAAAAAAAAAAAAAAAAAAAAAAAAAAAAAAAAAAAAAAAAAAAAAACCAAAGATTAAAAAAATGCTTGAAGATCAGAATAAGTATAAATATCCAACAGGCTAGACAATGAAATGCTTAATCAAGGTTTATGATCATATGCATATTTTGTCTTATGTTTGGCATATTTCTCAAAAACCAACTTTTGGCTTTACTCTTCACCAATTGGAATTAACGAATTATGGGTCAATATAGTCATGTGACTGAACATGACACTTAGGGCACACATCTTCACAATGGTGGGAAAGTCTAATATATATCCTGACATGAAGTACTAAAAATTCAAAAGTCAACTCAAATGGAAAAACTTATGAGTTACAATTAGATTAGATATTATACACATTGTGGAATGGGAAAGAGCTTTCATGGTCTTTTTCCGCCCTTATTTTACATCAACAATTATACTTTATACAAGTGGATATTAGTCCTTCTGTAATATGAAACTAAGAGTTTTCAGAGGTTAATATAAAAGTTACTATAGGCTTTATAGCATGCCAAAGTCCACATAGAATATAAGGATTGGACAAGAAAAGTATATCAAAGGATCATTATGCACGCAATTGCCAAATCTTGTCAGAGCAAGTCTGCACGGTTTTCTGATTTCTCTAACGACTTTGAGCCTTATATAACCAAACAAATGACTTCTCAATGGTATAAGAACATAAGATCATTGAAGATTACCTTCCTTCTATCTGTAGTTAAAGGAGGCAGGGATAGCCGGATTACTTCACCGTCATTACTAGGAGTTATACCAAGTTGAGAGCTAACTAATGCCTTCTCTATTGACTTCAAGCTGGAGAAACAAACATCAGAGTGAGATCTATTGACCATGTACATAAATTAAGTATAAGTAAGAAAACTTTTGTAGATTCAGTTTATTATACAGATCGAGCATTACATATATTGAAAAATGTAACAATGAGAAGAGTAAAAAATTGCATTGAACATCAGAATTTGATGATTCATTAATATTTTTTGAAGAGAAACTACTTTCAGGTCTTTCTTTCAATACGTACTATAAGGCTCTTGTCCTCACTAATAGACTCATTGAAAAACCACAATCTTGAAAAAAGGATATCTTTTTTATCAAAGCTAGAACGTGCAGAATAGAATCAAGACAAGTGATTTTAGGGTACATAATCAAGAAGTGAAAATATAATTTCACCATCCAAAAAATTCTCACAGGCTCAAGAACGAATATATTGTCATCAACATCATGAATTGATAACTATATACATTCTCCAAAACAATTTGAAGAAAGTTAAAACTTAAAAGTTCCTAATTTAAGTTATGTTACTATAGCTAATGCCAATTCATTTCTCTAAATCCTTTTAGAACCAAGCATAAATATAACACTCTAATAGTCTAATCCTAATCAAAGCTCTCAAAATAGCAAATCTAGTCCACGTTGGTTAATTTCACTCTTCTAAGCTTCTCTTCTTTGCCCTCTCTCTCAACTTCCTGGTGGATTATAGTGCCATGAAGTGCCCAATGGTAAGTTCAACTTTTCAAGTGATGTACAATGTATTCAACACCCTTATCATTGTTAGGACATGAGTGTGATTCCATAATGCCCAAGTTGGAATAGTATAAAGTAACAATTATTTTTTATTTATGCAGCAAGCTAACTTCCCCCTATACCCACTAGCGATGTAAAAGTCCCCTATATAATTACAATAGATAAAAGTAAACCCAAACTACCAATAGAATTTGACTTTCAGAAATCATACCTTGATTTGTCATAAGGTGTTATCAAAAGAGAACTAGCATCTGGAGTACTTATTTGAGCAATGCTTTTTAAGCTGACTGGAGTTCCGTAATACTCAACCTGTTCAGGCATATTGGTCAACTAAGGTAAAGGCAAGTTCAAATAGCAAGAAACTAAAATCAGAAATAAATTGCAAAATCACAGAGGAAACTTATATTAGGCATTGAGCCCAGTTATATAGATAAGTTATTAAGAGTAGACATTTATACCACAACAACGATTACTACAAATGAACTACAGGAATTAACAGAACATATGATATTGCAGGGAGATCAAGGAAACATACTTCAATCCGATCCAGCATTGATGGATTTGCTCGATTTGTCCTTACAGAATTGAAATTTGAGCGTATTGTATCAATAGTCTTCTCCATCCTTTGTTTCTTAAAAAGAAAACATTCACAAACAATCAATTTCCACACCTAGACAAGCATACACAATAATGCAACAAATGCAAACAGTGATTCCTAAGTCCAAGTAACATTAAAAACTCAAATTTCGGAAGCAAACTTACAGTATCCGTCTCTATCAACGACTTTTCAGCTTCGATTTCCTCCATAGTTGCACACCTAAAAGTTCCTGCTCTGAAGTAAAACCACCAGAGTACATCAAATTTTTGTAGCAATACCCTCACTAGTTTCTTAACCCAAATTTCAACAAAAATTGAAAGGATTCAACGTCGAAGCAACAAACATACTGGTTTGGCAACTGTTTCATAACAACAGCCTTCCCAGAAAACTTCTTAACACCACAATCCATTCCAACATAGTTAGCGGCAGACCGCCAAACTGAAACATTGGTTCTTGCAACTTGGTTTTGCGCGAAATTACATTCTACATTGCTAACACCTATACAAAATCATCCCATTCATTGACCAAAACACATAATTCAAATAAGGATATCTAATTCTTACATTAATAGCCAAAATTCACAAACCCATAAATTAATTTTTTCCAATTCGTATTTTCTATGGCTTCCAGAATTAGAAATGACATGAAATTCTACAGAATTAGGGTTTTTATATTCACAATCATAAATTGTACAGTATATCGTTGAATGATGAATTGAAGATGAAGTAGAAAATTGAAGGAGAGGTAATTGATGAAGAAAACGAACCTTGAAGAGAGATGTTGGAGGAGTTGCGACGCCTAAAAGAGTGGAGATAGGAAGTTGCAGAAGAAAGTGACGAAGTCGCCATTAGAGGTGAGACAGTAGAAAGAAGAAGAGTAGTGAGGTCTGAGTTTAGAGGAGAGACAACGAGCAAACGTCTACGGATAAGAGAGTGAGAAAGTGTTCAAAATTTAGACAGCTTCTACTAACATTAACGGGCGGTTGTCGGGTGAGAATGAGAATTTGGGGATTAAATAATAGGAATGGAATTGAAAATTTAGAGTAATTCCCATGTTTGGCTAGTCATGAGAATAAATTGGGAATATATAACAAATTTACTGATATAGACTTACTATTAATTTATTTTCTTTCTTGTCATTAAGAATAGATTTGTCTTTTATGGTTAAAATCAATTCCCAACCTTAATTCCTAGTTTCTGGTATTATTTTTTGGGACATAAAGTCTCATTTCCACCAAAACTCCCTTCTATCAAACTAGGGAGTTTTTGTAAATTGGGATAAAAATTCTCATTCCCATCCAAACTCCTTCCTACCAAACGCCCCCTAAGTTATTTTTACTCCCTTCGTTCTGCTCTATTAGGTTTTACAGTGTCCGACACCGCGCGGAAACAAAACCTGATAACCAAATTGCATGCATAATAATTACAACATAAATAAAAGCATGCAAATAAACATAAACATAAGAGAAGAGAGAGATGACAGAGAAAGAATGTTCACCCTTGTAGGTTAAGTTTAGACTTGAAAGCTTCAAGTTCCGCAAGTGCGAGAACCTCCAACGACTCACACCCTCGCTACAGTACCGTAACCGGTCCATACCTCGAAACTTAGTCGAGGCTGACCAAAACAACTTAGAGTTTAAGAGCAAAGGTTTTCTCTCTTTTAGAGATCCCTTAAAGTTCACCAACTCAAGTGAATTTCCCAATACCCAATTACGGGTATTTATAGGGAAATGTCCCCAAGAATTCCCATCATCTTTCAATGTGGGATACTTGGTAAAAAGCAAAAATAAGATTTAATTTAATTCCAAATTAAATTAAAAAACCAAAACAATTATCAAACGACAAGTGACGTAAGGAGAGCAAGGGAGTAGGTGGGACAACAAAGGGAAGGACCACCTTCCCTTGCTCCCCAAGCAAGTAGGCGGCACCAAGCATGTGGCGCCAGATAGTCCCAGCCTTGGGCACCAAGGCACGCCTTGTTGGCGGCCTGATGCTCGGCGGGCCCTGCCAGCCAGCCCGCACATACGTACATCCCAGCCAGCAAGCCTCGCACGCAATGTGGGCTGCTGCGTTGTGTGCTGCTGTTGTTGTTGTTGCCAGTGAGGCCAAGCACGCCTAGCTAGCTGCTGGCCTTGCTGGTGCACCTCCCCGTATGCATACTCGTCATACTGGCGAGCCTTGCCCGCAACAGCCAGTACATGCGATGCATGCTAGGCTTGCGGCCAAGCCTTGCCTTGCGGCAAGGAGCCCGGCTAGCCATGCTAGCCTACCTAGCCCTCGATTGGCTAGGCCACATCGAGGCTAGGATTTTCACGCGCATTGACATGTTGTTTGAGTGATTTTTCCGTCTTGTCGACTGATAAATTCGACTCAACTTTCGACGCTCTAAGCTTGGAATCCGACGTCTTAGTTCATAAAATCTCTATCGACTCATTTAATCCTTCGGATTAATTCGTCGCTTCGGTTCGGTTACACGATTGGGTGTGACCCGAAGGGTTCAGTCAAGATTAAGCTGTAATATTAATTATTCATTAATATTACTGATCGGAAGCGGCCTCCAGTTAGGTATTCCGATCACTTAACCTCACTGAATAATTAGCTTTCTAATTAATTCCGAACCCTTTATCGGAATAATACACTTGTTCGAAGGACATCATTCCTTTCAATCTCCCACTTGTCCTTCCGGACAAGTATGTTGTATGTGTATAGCCTGTTTCCTATGTCACTAAATGTCTTTTCGTGAAATAAGGTAAGATTTTTCGTCATCCTTACTACATCCAGAAGTGTTTCTCGATTTCCGAGTTCGACTGTCAATAAGCAGATGATTTCTAAAATCCATCTGAGCTCGGCCATGCATTTTCACAGTCTTGCTCTTCGAGAGGCCTTGTAAACAACAAAGACATATTCCCCTACTGTTAATAGGGGGACATTCCCAATCTTGCATTGTCAGCTTCCCTTACTAAGAGGCCCTAGCCGCCCAAGTGTTACCTTTATAATCCCCTTGTACCACAAACGTTTGACAACATCGAAGCGGACTAGTATTCAAACAAGAGAACTTTCAATACTCATGGTCGAGGAAAGAGGTTTCGATAGCCATAATGAGTAATATACTTATGACGATTTTAGATCTCTTAAAGTATTATCATAGGTCGATCCGGTATAGTTCCAAACCAATACCTGTGCAAATGATTTATGACATTCTTTTCCTTATGGCATAAGAAATGGTGCTATAAATAATACTACACACTAATCTCACGTGCAGTGGTCATTAGTCGTCCAACTTTCAAATGACCTCGATTAGGGATAATTTCGATATGATATTCAACGTTCACTTAATAGGTGTTTCTTTATCCAAGGCATTGCCTTGATACCCTATTTTGAATATTCTCAAATCGAATGGATTCATTATTTAATTATAAACCACAATTAAATAGAAATGGAATAATAATTTACAGAAAAAATTAAATTACTCCATAAATGATTGGTTTAACATAGTGTTTTGCATTAAGATCTCCACAACTTAATTAAAACACACAAATAAGGAAATCAAAGCCCTCCAATATGCCTGATTCCCATTGCCTCAACGTGCTTGTTGTGTTTCACTTGAGGCAAAGGTTTTTTGAGTGGATCGGCTACATTGTTGTCCGTTCCAATCTTGCAAATTCTGATTTCACCCTCGGACTTCCATTCCCTTATCATGTGAAATCGCCTCATGACATCATTGAGTTTCTGATGCTCCATTGGCTTTCTGGCCTGAGCAATAGACCCACTATTATCACAGTAAAGGTCTATCGGTCCCTTTATTAAGGGGACAACACCAAGTCCACCAACGAACTTACGAATCCAAACTGCCTCCTTAGCTGCTTCTGAAGTTGCCAAGTATTCGGCTTCAGATGTAGAATCTGCAGTCGTGCTTTGCTTAGCGCTCTTCCAACTAACACGTATCCTGATTGCGACTTGAAGTCGTCTCTGTCAGTCTGGAAACTTACGTCGGTATAACTTTCAATAACCAAATCCTTACTCCCACCATAGATAAGAAATATATCCATGTTCCTTTTCAGGTACTTTAGGATATTCTTGGCCGCAGTCCAATGCGCCTCTCCTGGGTCTGTTGGTATCAGCTCGTAGCACTCAAGGCATACGATACATCCAGCCTAGTACATATCATGGAATACATGATCTATCCAATAAGCGAATCATATGGAATCTGACTCATCCTCTCTCGCTCATCAGGGTGTCTTCGGACACTGTTTCTTGCTGAGAGTTATGTCATGTGACATGGGTAAGTGGCCTCTTTTAGCTTCCTCCAGATTGAATCGTGCCAGTACCTTATCGATATAAGTACTTTGGCTCAATCCAATCATCCTTTTAGATCTATCCCTATAGATCTTGATGCCCAATAAGTACAGGGCCTCTCCCAAGTCCTTCATTGAAAAACACTTTCCAAGCCAAGCCTTTACTGACTCCAACATTGGAATGTTGTTTCTAATGAGCAATATGTCATCAACATATAAGACAAGGAATGCGATGTCACTCCCACTGCCCTTCTTGTAAACACAAGACTCATCTAGATTCTTGATAAAACCAAACTCAGTAATGGCTTCATCGAATCGCAGATTCCAACTTTTGCTTGTCTGCTTTAGTCCATAAATGGACTTCTTAAGCTTGCATACCTTTCCAAAATTGTTTGGATCTACAAAACCTTCCAGCTGTGTCATGTACATAGTTTCTTCCAAAATCCCATTAAGGAAGGCGGTTTTGACATCCATTTGCCATATCTCATAATATGCGGCAATTGCTAGGATAATCCGGACGGACTTAAGCATGGCGGCTGGCGAAAAGGTTTCATCATAATCAACACTGTGAATTTTCCTGTAACCTTTTGCTACCAATCTAGCTTTGTATACATATACATTTCCTCTTTGTCGGTTTTCAACTTGAAAATCCATTTGCATGCGATAGGTGTGTAACCTTCGGGCAAATCAACCAAGTCCCAGACTTGATTTTCAAACATGAAGTCCATCTCGGATGTCATAGCTTCTTGCCATTTTGCAGAGTCGGGGCTCGTCATAGCTTGTTTGTATGTCGCTGGCTCATCTTCATCCATAACTAGGATGTCTTGATTCTTGGTTAAGACAACACCGAGGTATCTGTCTGGTTAAGATCTTGGCCTTTGCGACCTACGCAGGGTAATAGGTTGAATATTTGCTTTGTCATTTTGACTTTGACCATTTTCAACAGTTGCTTCCAAAGCACTTTGATTGTCAGTTTTGTCAGTTTGACTTTGTTGCTCACCTTCTCGAACTTCAGCAAGTTCGATTTTCCTCCCACTTGTCATTTTGCAAAGATACTCCTTTTCCGAAAAGACACCATCTCAAGAAATAAATATTTTGTTCTCAGATTGGTTGTAGAAGTAATACCCCTTTGTTTCTTTTGGATATCCCACAAAGAAACACTTATCAGATTTTGGTGCAAGCTTGTCAGATATGAGTCTTTTGACATATTCTTCGCAACCCCAAATCTTTAGAAAAGACAACCGTGGAGGTTTCTTCGTCCATAATTCATATGGAGTCTTTTCGACAACTTTTTACGAAGCGCGGTTCAGTGTAAGTGTCGCGGTTAGAAGTGTGTGTCCCCAGAAAGAGATAGGAAGATCGTTAAGACCCATCATTGATCGAACCATGTCTAACATAGTTCGATTTCTCCAATTCGTAGCTCAAATACTCGCCACCTCAATCCGATCGAAGTGCTTTGATTTTCTTGCTAAGCTGATTTTCCACTTCACTCTGAAATTCTTTGAATTTCTCAAAAGATTCAGATTTGTGCGACATAAGGTAGACATAGCCATATCTACTAAAGTCGTTGTGAATGTGATAAAATAGCGATAACCATTTCTTGCGGTTGTGCTCATTGTCCATATACATCCGTGTGTATGAGACCCAATAAGTCACTAGCCCTTTCTCCTAACTTGGAGAATGACTACTTTATCATCTTTCC